GGACGCGCGCGGCTGCGAGCCTGCGGGACATGCCCCCCGCGCCGGCTCCTTGCTGGCGGCCATGAAGAGGCAGAACGTGCGGACTCTGTCCCTCATCGTCTGCACCTTCACCTACCTGCTGGTGGGCGCCGCCGTCTTCGACGCCCTCGAGTCGGACCACGAGATGCGCGAGGAGGAGAAACTCAAGGCGGAGGAGATCCGGATCAAGGGGAAGTACAACATCAGCAGCGAGGACTACCGGCAGCTGGAGCTGGTGATCCTGCAGGCGGAGCCGCACCGCGCCGGCGTCCAGTGGCGCTTCGCCGGCTCCTTCTACTTTGCCATCACGGTCATCACCACCATAGGTAAGGGCTGGGCGCGCCGCCGCCGGGCTCCGCGCGCCCCAGGAGGCGTCCGGGGAGGCGGCCGGACGCGCGGCGCAGGGCTGGGTGCGGGGCGCCGAGGCTTCCACGCAGCCTGTCGCTGGGGCGCCTCTGGCAGCGCCCCCTCCTCCTTCGGGAGCCCCCTCCTCTCCTGCGCCGCGCTCCTCGCGGACCCCACCCGGCGCTCTCCTCCGCGCCGGTGTCGCGGCCCGGCGTGCGAGCCCCGGACGAGCGTGCCGGAGCCGGGAGGGCGGAGGCGCCACTTTTTGCGAAGAGTGTGGAGCGCTAAGAATAATCCCATAGCAGACACCCACCCACCCGCCGCCCCGGCGCGGCTGGGCTGCGCGGGGCTCCGAGCCTTACACTTACTACCTCTCCCGGAGTTGGAGAGGGCTGGCCCGGCGCCCGCGGCGCGGAGAGGGACTCTGGTGGCAGGGGGACTGCTTCTGGAGCGTGGGAGGCGCTGACCCTCGCCAGCCTCCAGCCGTCTCTGAGCCCAGATTTCAGCTCTCCTCCCTGCTGGCGTCTCCTCTTGGAATCCTGGAGCTAGTCGTGCCAGGCCCGAGGGGACAGAGTTTGCTCACTGGTGATTGGAGAGGGGGTGGCAGCCGGGTGAACTGTGCTCGGAGCAAGGTCGAGGGCCGGGGGCAGGGCGGGACCGGCCCACCGCGGGCCGTGCCAGCGGGTAAGGCAAGTCTGCGCAGTGCCCAGAAAGCGAAGTTCTGCCTCGTCTGGGGAGAGAGTCCAGTTGGTACACCTTGTGGACTCCTGAGGGTCCCCCCCAAGGGTGCTGTCCTCTGAGCAGTCTCCGGTGGGTGCGGAGAGCGGTACCCCCACTACCGAAACCCTGGGTTTTGGGACCCGCAGACGTTACACTTTGACAGGGCCCCCGGGGAACGGGGACAGGTCACTATCCCAGTGGATGCGGGGATGCCTTCCGGGGCAGGAGGCAGGGTGGTGCCTCTGAGCTTTGCAGCGTGTCCCAGCAGGGTTCCCTGGCCCTCCACAGTCCCCCCCCCCACCTTGGTCCTTGCAGGGCCACCGTGTTGGCTTGGGGAGGTCCCCTGTGGTCCCCTTCGGTCCAGGGGCCTCGGCGTCCTGAGCAGGGGCCTCCCCGTCCCAGCCTCACTTCCCTGGGCCTCCCCTGTCCTTCCCCCCCTGGCATTCTTTGTCTGGAAAGCTCTGCGTGCTGACAACAGGATTTGTCAGTGCCATATGCAACAGGAAGCGCCGGCACAGGACGGCCTGGCTCCTCGGTTGAAAAGACTTTTTAGAGAGTCATCTTGTTTGCAATGTTTAATTCATTGGTGCAGGTTTTTTATGTTTTTGAAGGAAACTGTCCTTCTGTTGCCTCTGTAACCAGCTTTGCTCCAGCCTGCCCCACGCCCCTGGCCCAGTGGCCAATACACAGAGAAGCCCCCCTCTCCCAGCCCGTGCTTCCAGCGCCTGACAGGGCCAGCGCCTCACTGCCGTTTTTCTGCCTTGAAGCTTCCAGCGTGAGCTGTGGCCGTGACAGCGACGTGCAGACTGGCCGCCCCCGGGGAGGGGTCAGCCCTCATTCCCTAGCCGTGTGGGTAGTGATCTCGGCCCGAGACTCACAGCACGCTGGCGCGGAAAACGGAGGGTGGGCCCCAGAGTTGGCCCACGACGTCAGGAGACCATTGGCGTTAAAACGGTCAAGCCCAGAGATGTTCCAGGCTACCCGAGAAAGAAATCGTTAGGCCGACAAAGTTCGTACAGAGGTGTGTTTATTGGTTCTGATTGGGAGCTCTGGGCATATGCTTCTAACTGTTAAGGCTCCAGAGAGAAGCTGGCAGGAAAGTGGCCAGATTGAGGGTGTCGTCTCAGCCAGGGGTGCGGTGGGACTCGGACCACAGGGGCGCCTGACGACCGGGCTGATTGATGTCACGTCCTTTACTGAGTGTTCAACTGATTTTCTGGAAAGAAAGGTTGGAATAGATACGTAAGGGGAGGAGGAAAAGACCCTGCTCACTCGGCTGCCCCGCAGCAGAAGGACCCTGAACTTGGAGCCTGAGGCCAGCCGTCCTGGGTTCCAGCCCAGCCTCAGTTTCCTCACCTGGAGGAGGAGCATTGGCCAGTAGCCACCTGCAGCTACGCGGCACAGCGCGGTGTGCCTGGTAGGTGTGCGTCCCTGCTCTGTGACATGGCCGGAGTCTCCTGCTGTCGGGCCCGGGACGCTGTTTTAGCAGAAACGCTGGAATTTACAGGAAACAAAGCACCTTTCTAGTTAATTCTGTTTGTTTTCTCCTTTTTTAATATAAATGCAAATTAAGGTGCTCCTAGGCCTCTGAAGAAACCCAGCCCCAAGCCAGGCCCTCCATGGGACTGTCTCCTGCTGGACAGTGATGTTCATGAATCACGTTAACCTTCGCGGCTGCTCTGATGCTTAATCTAACCTTGAGCCAGTTCTCCAGCGGCCTTCAACTTTGGGCCCGTCTGGAGGTGGGGCGGGAACTACCGGCTCGCCTGCCCGCGATTGACCGATGCTTCTCGGAGGCAGTTATCAGCTCGCTCCGTGAAATGGGGTTTAAAACACATAATCACCACTTCACATTGGACCTGTGGCCGCGCCTTCGGGGGAGGCTCTGGACGGATAATCCCACTGGGTCCCTGGGCACAGCCACCCTCGCCGCGGGGAGGGGTGAGCAGAGGTCCAGAGGCTGTGCGAGGGCACATGGGGCTCCGTGCTTGCCATTCGTGCTCGCCTGCTGCTTTTGATGTCTGTGCCACTTGTGGCTACTTCCCAGGAGATCGAGTTGTTGAGGTCTAAACTTAGGAAGAACCCTCACCCTGTGTTTGAGGTGGGAAGCCCTCTAACCCAGCAGGACAGACAGAAGGCCTCCCCTGCCCCAGGCTGTCGGTGCACATGGGGAGTGTGTGTGTGTGTGTGTGTGTGTGTGTGGAGTGCAGAGCGTTTGGCTTGAATTTCTCTGCTCGGGACTCAGGCCTGGGTGCTCTGGGGACCCTGGCTCACCTGTAACTTCTGCTGGAGGTGCTTTAGGCTAAAATCGTGTCACGCGATCAACAGCCGTGCAGGTCATCGGCCGGGATCTCCACGGCACTTCTGTTCAGAAGCTGACGTCTGTGGTCGGAGTTGTCACCACCTTCTGGCATTAAGCTGTAGCTTAGTTCTCCACAGGAAGGCCGGAGCGGAGCCTGGTCACCTCCAGCCCCATCTCAGAGACACCACATTTAGAATTCCGGTCACATCTGTAGGGGCCGGGAGGGCGACTTAAGAACTGGCCTGTGTCAGGGCAGGCGACTGGGTTTTCTGTGTGTGCCACAGTTTGGGGGAGCGGGAGGGAGACTTAGGTCTGGGGCAGTGTCTCCCCAGGCCCCGTGGGCCCATCTGAAGCCAGAGGTGGCGGCTGTGGGACTTGAAGTGACTGCCTTAGAGCCAAGGTCTGCTGGCTGGGGTGGAGCACACTCTGAGACAAAGTTTTGGGGCTCCCGCGGTCCCCTCCATCAGATGCTGCGCCCGCTTAGGTCCAGAGTGCAGCGAGACACTTGCCTTTCTTGTTCTCACATGGAACCGTGACCGGTTTTGGGGAGGTGGAGGCACCCCGTCTCTCCGGCACTCCTGGGTGTTGTTTTCCATTCGGTTTACGCTCTCGCTGCTTGCCCGCCCTGCCTGTCTGTGCCGCCTCTGAGGCTCTGGGGACAGTCTAGATGACAAGATAAGGCCTCGCCCCGAGGCAGGAGGGGAGCTGGAAACCCAAGCATTTGGTTGCAGTCCAGCCTGAAGAGCAGGGACAGCTAAGCCCAGTTAACCCCTCCCGTGCCGCCAACGCGTTCCCGCTGGCCTTGCAGCCATCACAGGCCCTCATCTCCCGGGCGGTCTTCTCGGCTTTTCCTGGTGCCGCTCGCCGCCTCCCTGCGCCGGGCCCCCACCCTCCGTGCCTCCCCAGTTCCAGCGTTGTTGACACCGTTGGTTCCGGTGCAGGCCAAGCTGGGTCTTTCCCCAGAGCCTGGGAGCGAGCCCGCGGGTGCCCGAGGGCGCCCAGAGCTGTGGCTCGCTGTCCTCCGTCCCCCCGCAGGGCGGGGGCGGGCGCTGCCCCACTTCGCAGGTGAGGCACCTGAGCGGCAGGGGAGGCAGCGCCACCCCCCACCCCGGCGGAGGGCCTCGAACTCCGAGCTCCGGGCAGTCAGCGTCTCCTCCCCGTCTGCGGAATGTCCCCTCTGAGCCTCCTCTAGCTCCACCACTTAGGAAACCTGCTCAGCCAGACCAGGTGAGGAGCTGCGCCTCTGCAGTGTGGGCCTCGCAGGAGGGGGGACTCCTGTGACTTCCCAGCGGGGTGGCTGGCGGCGTGCCAGAGACGCGTGCTGCCGGGGACAGCTCCTCCGTCCCCAGGCCCTGCGGGGACAGGCCCCGCTCGTGGCCAGTACGCCAGCCTGTTTCTAGATGTCACGGGGGAGGCAGAGGAGTGAGGCAGAGAGGGGTCCTTCTGGCTCTGGGCGGCATAGACGAGAAGGCGCCTCTGGAAGGTGCGGAGGCCCCTGGGTGAGGCCCGGGAGGCTGGGTGGGCATCAGATGGGACCCATTGTCTCCACCTGCTCCTTCTCGGCCCAGGGAGAGAGCAGCAGGGGCAGCGGGTGGGCCTGGCCTCCCTCCGTGCACCTGTGCCCCACCTGCACTCCCAGGTGCTCGCTCAGTCCTGCACGCACCCGTTCGCTCGTTCCTCGCTCATTCCTCACTCGGCTGGTTTTTAATAAACCGTAATGTTCGTGGGGCGGGGCGTACTGCTGTGTCGCTTAATGATTCTTGAAAACAGGCCACGTCCACGTCGCCAGCATTCAGCTCCAGAAGCAACGTCACCAGCAGCGCAGAGCCTCTCTCGTCAGTCAGCTTCTTCTTGAGTGTCTCTAGAGACAGGGAGCTCACTACCTCACACGTGGTGAAGTGCTGTGTTTAGACTCACGTCACGGTTCTTGTGTGAGGGTCTGATCTGCTGGGCCACCAT